TTTTTTCGTTTTTTTGCAACGCTAATGTAAATTCATTAAGGTGACGTTATGTTATATTCTTTATCAAAACTATGAAAATGTATTTTATTTTAAAGTTTTTTTGTTTCTGTATTTTGGAATTTATGACTTAATAAAAAAAATAAAAAAAAAACAAAAAAAAAAAAACGAAAAGAAAGAAACCCCTTAAAATGAATTCCTCTTTAAAAGCACTAATATGGAAGGCACACAAACCTAAGTGCGTTAAAAGATATCCTAAAAATAAGAACTACAAAATATTGCATCCAGTATATAATTGAATGAGGAGAACTTCTTAGCACAGAGAACAATATATATTACATATATAGTTTATGAGTTTAAATTTAAAAACTTTATGATAAGTTCATTTGTTAAATAATATATTCATTTAATAATAATAAATTTATATAACATATATATATATATATATAAGTTACATTTTCCTTACTTCAATATTGCCTGAATTAAAACCGTAGGCTAAAGTCGTTTTAAGATTCTCTAATGTACTGTCCATAAATTGTGTGTGCAAGTTAATGTTAACTTGGCAAAAAAAAAAAAAAATAAAAAAATAAAAAAATAAAAAAATAAAAAAATAAAAAAACAAAAAAATAGAACAAGTAAAGATAAACTTTTTACTTTATAGCTCTTTACATATTTACGTATTATACATATTTTGTCTCGTAATTAATATTTTCATCACAGATTTTGTTCGTTCTCCTTGAGACCAAAATTCATTACGGAAAAGTTTAGATGCAATTTACATAAAAGCATTTCACCCCTAGACACACAATAAAATTATTTCAAAAAAAAATCCGATGCTTATTATTTTCCCATTTTTTTTCTTTTCTTATACCCTCCACCACATATTACATAAGGTTATGTTCAGTTAGTATGACTGTAAGGCAATACCCAGATGTATTTTAGATAGATCCCAATATTATCTAGCTTGCTTTGTCCGTCTGACCAGCAGTCTGTCTTGTTTGTAATTTTTGGGATCTTTTTTGATGAAATTTGTCCCAAGGTGGAATGTCACTGAAAAAGTTTTGTATTCCGATCGCTTTATCAAGCAAAGGGGTGCAGGCTATTTAATGACGGGGCCATATCTCACTATAGTTCTTTTACTTGTCTTATTCATATCGTTCTCCTTAAGCTACTTTCCTCAATATAAAATTAAATAACATATTAAATGTTAGTTATCCCTTCTCTCCCTTGATGGTATGTGAAGAAAATATTGATATAAAATTATATCTATTCGGTCGATTATTAAATGTTCAGTGATGTCGAAGAGAGGATGTAATTAGTGCTCGTAGTGCATCGTAGTGAATGAATAGCATGAATTTTTGCTTGATTTTTACAATTCGACTAACAGACTTCCATCAGATTCGTATAAGCAGAAAGTTAATTTTTGAGTAGAATACTTTTCGCAAAACTAACATAAAATCTTTATATACATATCTACCACTTATACTAAGTAATATATAAAACAAGTTTATGCTGTAAGCATATTGTATTCATAAAAGACAAAGTGTTAAGGTAATGACGTAACAACAAAAAGAAAAGTTTCTACAAAATACATTAAAGCGTTTAACGTTATGTGTGTTTTTTGCAAAACTCGTTAACATAAAAATATATTTAGGATATTCTTTATTAATTACCGACTAATTTCTAAAGCAAAAGGAATTAATTTTTTTAAAACATCTAGTATAGGTAAAGACCGCGAGTGCTTATGCAATAATTTCTTATCAATATCTGCAGAAGCCTGCAGTGGGGCGTAAACTAAATCCAGCTTCGTTTAGATAAACAAAAATTTATTGTTGCTTGCTCGTTACTCGCAAATTATAAAAGTGAAAAGGCTGCTAATATCCTCGTCTACTTTGCGAAACACTCGACTCTTTACGTGCGAGACTGCCCACATGAAGTTACCCGTAATTAAAATTGATTTTTTTTTTTTTTTTTTCATTTTCTTGAAGTTTTATGCCAGGCAAACATGGCAGAGTGTTTAAAACGATTTTGTTCATTCTTCAAATGAAGATATATTATCTGCCTAAAAATGGGTTAATTCTAAAATGAATATGGCAGACATCGTGTCTTGGTATTTTAATTTTTTCTTAATAATACCAAGCGTATGGGTGTCAAATAAAAGAACTTGCAGAGTAGAATGAGAAAAGCGTAGTGGCGGGTATGCGAGATTCGGCCCTTGCCGAGTACAACTTTCTTTATTGTTTTGTATACGCATTAGAGAACGATGGGATATATCGATGTTCTTGTCTGTCCTTGCATTAGTCATTTAGAATTTGCGTAATGAAGCTATGATTGGGCCCATGCCCATGAACTCTTAGCTTAGGTCTATACATCAAGCTTGTAATTGCCTGCTATTTACTATTAAAAATTCACATTGAAGGGAATCAAACTTTTTTTACTTATTTCACTTATTTAACTTTCTTAGGATATTTTCGTTAACAGCTTATCCCTATTTTAAAATTCATCAGAAATGGATTCAAAATTTTTAATATGTAGAGTATATTAAAACACGCCAGATGGGTAGACATATATACCTAAGTCGACACGGGATATCTACTAGGCGTAGACGTTTAGATGTTGTATTAACATGTGTATGTTCTCTTTTACTTTATGACGACCAAAGAACAAAGCATATAGTCCTTTCCTTGTCTTTAAAGCAATGCACACAAACATTCACACATGTATATATGATAAGTGGACAGATAAAGTCTCTGTATTGAAACTGGCGCTTTAAGAAACCTACCTGTCGCGTTCATTTCGCGTATAAGTTTCACTTGTCGTTTAGTGCACCTGAGCGTAACGTTTTTTAAGTGCAAAGAAGTGGATATCATTTACGACATTGCATATTATGCTATATTTACGTTGACGAGAGTATAGCTGAAGCTATGGAAACGATTGAGTTGGTTCGGAGTGAAAATGCACCAAGTTATGAAACAGTTAAAAAGTGATTTGCAAGACTTCCCGCAAAAATTGTAGTCTTGAAGACGACGGACAGTCGTATAAGCGTATTTAGGAAAAGAATCCAGGAGGTGACCTTTAAGCCATGCTACGAGTTTTTTCTAACTTCGGGATAATTTTCCAGACGTGCCTCCTTCTCGTTGGCATTGGTTCAGATCGATGAAATAATATTTCGTTGATTAACGGTTTTGCGAAATTGAAGATATGCGGAATGGCTTTGCCCATCGTCTCAAAGCTTCTACCGCCTGGCCATCCAAAAGTTAGCCATATTTTGGTCATTAAACTTTGTCGCGGGCATTTTTTTTTCAACTAAATATGACTGTTATCTAAAAATGGAGGGAATTTAATTATACACCTAATGTATTTGTTACGAATTCCCTTCTCTCGGAAATCGTTCGTATCGCTAGATCGGGGATATTCTACAAGACTCACAAATAGTTTATTTAGATACAGTTTTACATTTATATTACTATTGCCTAAGTTCATGGCTTCATTTTTAATCCGTTAACATGCTTTTCTGCTAATGGTGCTCCTCGCCGCAATTTGCATGACGCGCCGCGAATGTGTACTTGGGTTTTCCGTCTCGAGGGAATTTATTATTTGCGAAAATCAATTAGTTGGAATGAACTGGATTTAGGATTCCCGTAACAGTACGCTTTGAACAGTTGCACTTTCAAATATTAGACGGGTAGAAATGCTATGCACCTATTAATCGCGGGTTAATCTCCGACTGGGGACCTCGCCGTTAATTGTCCTTTTTTATTCATCCGCATATTTCTTAAATTCACGATTAAGTTTTCGAAAGTTTTCTGCTTTTTTTTTTTTTTTTGCCTTAAGTCCTTGCTTCAAATATTTATTGCCGAATAGAATATGTTTTTAGGGTCTTTTTGTAATAATTTTTTAGTTTATGTGGTGATCGAAAAAGACTTTTTGCTTTCTCTAGAACTTTGTTATAGATATTATTGATTTATGATATTTTCATTGAATTGGCCGCGCCTGTCCAACACATTACCTTGCTCTCATTTGACTAATAACACGAATAATCTTAGAATTTGCGACTTATTGGAGTAAAGATTTATTGGCTTAAGATGAAAAGTTGAATATCGCATGATTTTTTGGCCACAACTCATATAGACATTTTTAAAGATTGTACAGTTATTGAACGTTTTACTCAATAAATTGATCGTATTATGAGGTGTATAGTTGCCGCATAGATAAGTATATAAAAGTTGTGACTACCAGATTTGTACTCGAGGATGCATCGTATGGACAAGGTGAACCATTCATCGGTGCAAACATCAAGTGAGATAGAATGTACTGTGGTCGCAGTTACAGTGAACGCTCAGTCGGCAAAGACATAATACTTGTCTTTTGGGCAAACCATCAATGAGCTACGCCCATTTCTTATTCCTTATTCCGTTCTCTTTTCTCACTTCTTTCCGACACTCAACGTGTCGCACTTATATGGCGCATCTCTTGAATGATTGGTTGTAATAAAAAAAAAAGGAAATTTGTCAATATTCTGTTGGAACCGTATATCGCCCAAGTTAAAATTATCAACCGAGCGGTTAACTCGGTAATGTCATTCTCATTTCTAATAATTACATTTTCAGCCCAGCAATAACTTGCAAAAGTTAATTTCCGTACAGGCTCGTGTGTAAGCTTTTGTCGCTTAGGAAGCGTAGTTGTATTCTCTTTCTTGCTGAAAGGGGCAACATGCGTTATTTACGACACAGTTGATCCAAACATACTGTTCATATCAAATGTATGATAGGTAGCTCGAATTCAAACAATTTCTATATGCTGTGTAAACTGCGTAGTTTTCCATAATGATTTGTTATTAAACGATAATGAAAGGAAATCTCAATTTTGGCGTAAATCTGAACCTGCGTAACGTTTTTTACTTGTCCTTCTCCTTCTCCTTCTCCCATATAAAATGAAGAAATATAAAAAAGAAAATACTCATTGTAAAATGTCTAAAGAGTGTATTTTATTCATATTTTCAGTTGAAAACAACCAGAAAGCAGTGCCGACATAGAGGTAAATATTTATTTGCTTTCCTTAAGATATTATTTGACTGAGAAAAAGGAGTAGGATTGCTCCTATTCATCCTTTCTCTCGAAACCTTACATTTTTCTAAAAACAATATTTATTTCCTTTAAGAAGGAAATAATATGAACTGCATATAAATGTCCAGTCATTTAGCAAATCCAGATCAATATTCCGGAATCTCCACCATAAAGTTTTACTCAACGATTGCGAATAGAAAAGTTTGCATGATGGCGGGTCAAATTGAAACAAGCCGTCGTCAGATAGGTCAATATGAGGGGAATGCAGCAAGTACAGTGTTATGCCGCAACTCAGTGTATTTAACTTTAAATAATACGCAAAGCCATTGCATGGTATCACGATCAAGATTATTAGTGATATGTCATTAATTGCTTTGTAAACCATGCTTCGGCGGTAAGTATATCAATGCTAAGGACATGTTCGGAATTACAGCTATTTGATAAAGAAATGCAAACTATGCAAATCTATTATCGCGAATGATTCTAACGATAACTTGGAATTTTGCGCTCACTGCAAACAAACTTTTCATTTCATAGTTATTTAATCAAGTCAAGCGAGCTGTTTGGCTTTGGCGCATTAATGCGGGTAATTTCGGGAGTAACACCAAGCTGCTGTCTAAAGGAGAGTTGTTTTGAAAACATTACTAGTTCATGTAAGGGCTAAGCTAATACAGTTTAAGTTAAAATTTCAAACACACTATGTTCTTCTATGTTTATCTGGAAGGCATTAATTGGGCAAGCACTGCGCAAATTTGTTAACATGAAAGCCATTGATGGTCGTTACCTAAGGCAACAATTTCATTTAAAAGGGCTCCACTCAGACAATATCAAACCCGAGATAGACTCTAAACCGAAGGTCTCTGCTTCTTCGTTACAAACAATGAAATATTTAATGGCGGACCTTAAATTAGGTTGTGCGCGTTTCCAAAATGAATATCGCAGTATTCGACCAAATGATCCATCACTTGTGATGAAAATCCAACAAATACTACTAGAGAAGTGGCAATAAATGAGAATTTTTGACTCGATTCATAGGCCGAGGATGAAATGTGAAGCCGAACGAACAAGCAATGGATTGAAAGGGGAAAATCGGCTCCAAAGAAGATGAAGGTAATTCCGACGGCTGACAGGCTTATGGTATTTATTTTTGAGAGTACGCATGGAAAATAGCTCAACAATGGTTATTAAGGGAACTTATTGCTTGCTGCTGTGTGTTTTTGTTTCCCTATCATGAGGGCTAACAACAGAGAACTACAGCTTGAACTGAATCCTGTTTGCTGGCCTAAATATTCTCGGATTATTCGTTGGCTCGCAGCTAAATCTGTTTGGCACCAAAGTGAGATCCGCCGTCTATGTCCATTACGAAGACTTCTCCAGACTATAGTATGAAGAGCATATCAAAGCGTTTGAATATCGCTGGGAAAGTGTGTCCAACTAAGGCTAGACTATATTGAGAAATGACGATTTTGTTTTTCTAAACATTTTTGTTGTTTCCTACGTCAGACCAGGAAGGGTTGCGATTACCGTTACAATTATGCCATTTCATATGAATCCCGTGAAATGAATGCAAACTTAATAGCTTACGATCTTTTTAAAGTAAGTGAGAATTTGTCAATAAGCATTGCTTTCAATTATATAATACATTAAGAACGAACAAACAACGCTGGGAGGGGTTTGAATACGTGTACGAATAAAAGAAATAAAGAGCATTGATCGCAGGTGTAGAGAAACTGGTGAAGTTCCTTATATAGTCAGTGCAAATGTAAATCATGCAATCATTAAGCAAAAGTTTAATCACATTTTCGAACGGAGGGAGTATTGAAAACTATTGAAGAAGAACTTCGTAATAGTGCTAAATAAAAAAAAACAAAAAAAAACGGGGATGAGATCCTTACCAAGACGGAATTGTTACAACATAGCCCAGGTTTCTCAACATATTTGCTGAAAGAATAGTATTCGGTCATAACTGTCGTCATTAAGTGTAAGTGCTAATGGAGTTCCATCCATCGTTCACGAAGACATGTGATTTCCGTTAAGAGTTTTTCATTTCACATGATATCAGATTTAAGATTTAACTTTGTAGATGAGTTCATAATATGTCTTGCAGGTTCCTAGCGTGCGACAGATTAGTGTGAGTTGGTTGTGACGTGGTCGTGTAGTGTAAGTTGCGAGTGTTGACATTGTCACTTTTAAAATTGTCACCGCATTACCTTAGCCGTTTAGGGACTTTGGTGATGACTTTGTCTTGACTATATTTGTATTAGTGCGTGCAGCAATTAATTGTAGCCAAGATATTCAGAGTCTCTCTCTCTCTCTCTCTCTCTCTCACTCTCTCTCTCACTCTCTCACTTCCCTAGAAAAATACAAATAATTTGTAATTGCGATACCATAGTGCGTAGACTTTGTTGCATTTACTTTCTGATTCTTGCACTATAAGCATAAAACAGGCAAGATAGTAATTGTTTTAAGAGATTCCTTCGAAAAAGTAATATTAAAATGAAATTGAAATTATGCATATATATACAATAAACTGAATTTTCTTTATTTGTTGTTTTTTTTTTAATTTTCTAAAAAGCTTTATATACTTAATGTATGTAACATAATAATATTTGTGTTTTTGTGTTATGTGTTTTCATTTCAATGCATGTGAGTACCAATGTACCATGAGTTTATTTATTTATTGTAAGCTAAGTACACTTTTAGGCGAGATAGAAAGTGACAAAATTCGCATAGACTGTAAGGGGAAAATGCTTTCTTCTACTAAGCCTAATATAAAAAAGATGCAGTAAGAGTTTTATGTGCGACGACCATTTTTTAGGAAGCGCCTTCTCTCCTTTTGCTTTTCTTTCTAAATTCACTTCTTCGCAAGACATTTAATTAGTCATTGTAACATTTTTAGGAAGTATTTAAAAATAATAATTGCGTAATATCCTTATTCTATCGGGCTTTGAATTTGATTTCACGTTCTCAGTAACTAATGATTAACTCGATTTACTGCAGAAATTGATTTGCATCCGTCCTCCGCTAATAACTATATATTTAAGATTGTTTCGTATACTTCGCACTACTTGTGGTATAAGGGCAGTTAAGTTAAGTTTGGTTGAATGTACGCAACACCCGGAAGAACTTGGAATAAGCCCATCCTTAATTATATGGATCGACTCGAAAAGTAATTATGAAAGTGATTTTAAAACAATATTTCCTTGTCAGTCCGTTTCTTCGTCTACGCGTCTATCTGGTAGTCTTTTTTTCTTCCGCTCAATCCATAGGACATAGTTTTTGAGATATTTTGATGAAATTTTGTACACCAATTTGTTTTGGCAACAGCAGAACTCTATAGATAATATAGGTTCGTATCGGACCATTTTTTCGAAGACTTATATATCAACAATATCAATAGTAGAGATAACAGTCAATAATTGTTGGCTAAATATTGAAAACATTGAAACACATTGTTCCGTAGCATTCCATGTAGTTTCGCGAGGTCGCAAATTCATTTCGATCGCACATCTAGTTTGCAGCTTATTTGTTATAGTTGCTTGGCAGGTATTTATGTTAACTGCAAGAAACAATACGGGAAAGGGAGTGTGATCGTTAGAAAACACTAATCTAACCGAACATAGATTGAAAGCAAATGCCAATAATATTTTTTCACTCCTCTTGATCGAGCCGCTAGGATGTTCAAGGCAAGTATGTGACAAAAAGCTAGTGTGCCGTCCAGATTAACGATTATCTGGGACCGGGCGACTCTACTAACAAACTGAATAACTATGGACTGTTATTTCTTATTTTCCTTTATTCCCGCATTGGCAAGCCGCAATGGTTCAACATTTATAAACCAGAGAACATGTTTTGTATAGACAATCGCATGAATGAATAGAAGCACGATTGTCTTGACTTTATGCTGTAATCATTTCGATGTGGACCTAAGGCAGTATAGTAAAGTGGGAAAGGTCACCGCCAAATTGGTATCAGGCATTAACTTGCTGTCGTAAAACCCTGCCATATACAACTCGAAGTATCCGTTAAATGAAGCTCGCATCACTGGATTGTGAATTTATAAAAGGGTCAGGACTTTGCCATTCAAGATTAGTATAATTTCTCTATTTCTGATAACTGTTAACCGAATTAAAAAAAAGAATTCATACTTCCTTCTAAAGATTCGATTTTGTTGTTAATAAATCTTTTGAAACAAGCGATGAATACCACATTTCCTTCTAATATCATTGTTGTCATAATGATCTTAGACCTAGAGTTTTCACTTGTACTTGTACTTAAAGGATCACAATGCCGTCGGCTAAGCCATTGAATATCGTCACGTGCCTTCATTACATCCGCACTCCATTTTATCAAAAATTCATTTCCAACGGACACAGATATTTTCTTTATATTTATATATATATATATGGATTCATTTTATTACATAAGTAATTTTACTAAAAATATTATATAAAAGCTTCCCATTTTAATTAGAATATTTAGCGATATTATAATTTTTGCTTATATTTTCTCTGTCTCTCTCTCTCTCTCTCTCTCTCTCTCTCTCTCTCTTTCTATTTCTCTCTCTCTCTCGCTCTCGCTTTTATTTATATTTTATTTTCAAAATCCCTGTAAACATTTAATGCAATAATTTATTGTGTTGTTGTTTGGAAAACGAACGACTCTTGAGTTATATTCACTTTAATTTGCTCTACTTTACGTTGTTTTTAATATTTATTTTTTGTTTTTTTTTTGTTTTTTTTGTTTTTGCGCGCGCGCGCTTTTCTTCCGTTTTAATTTCTATTTATCCGAGCATATAAATATATCACTTTGCTCTCAAAATAATTAAAATTCTGATTTCGAACCAATTCATTTTGAGACTCTACGCCAAAGAGTAGATTTCGAAATTGGATTACAGTACGAGTAATGAATAGGTAAACGAAACGATAATAAATGATGTTAATCAGTAGTAGTGCAAGAAATAAAAAACAA